CTCAGCATGACCAGTAAGCTCCGGCAGTGATTCCGGCACAGTGTCCGCTCATATACGTGTTAATCTATTATCTCTCCTCCCCAGATCACCAGTCACCCCACAAGGTAAGCAACTCAGTTCATCTCAGTATTCATACTTCACTGGTTTTGGGGATTTCATCGGAGCGGTGCTTTCCCTCCTGAATGATTATCCTGCAAACCGGGGGGCCTAATCGCCAAACACCATTACATTCTCCTGTTTGTACTATCATGGCAATCATTTCATTCATATGACGTGTAAACAATAAATATGTAATTCTTACATCACGTCTCTCCGGGTTGAAATGAAAGCTTTAGCGCAAGTTCAATAAGGAAGACCTAACTCGAGTCACTCACACGTCACTCTATGGCTCCCTTCCCCCCTCATTAAATATGAGGGCGTCACGCCTCAGCAGCCAATCGCTGCACATGCTAAATGCCTTAAATACCTGCTCTTCCTCCCTGTCAGTTGTCATTGCAGATGATCACACGCAACCCGCCTCCACCCCTCTCGCCTCCCGTCTCCTTCAGGACAAAGCTAAACCTTCCTCCTTCAGACTGGTCTCACCTACTCATCACCACCACCAGTGTCTAGACCCCGGGGATTTCATCGGAGCGGTGCTTTCCCTCCTGAATGATTATCCTGCAAACCGGGGGCCTAATCGCCAAACACCATTACATTCTCCTGTTGTACTATCATGGCAATCATTTCATTCATATGACGTGTAAACAATAAATATGTAATTCTTACATCACGTCTCTCCGGGTTGAACTATGTGGAAGACATACGAATCAGAATAGCGTTTTTGTTGCACCTTTGTAGTCGTAGTTAAAGTATTTTGTTTTATGCTGCTTGGACCTTTGACTTTTCATTAATTGAACAGCGTTTCAAGCATTCAAGGATTATTGATTTTGAAACTAAATGTAGTAACAATAACACAATACAAACTTGACGAAAAACAAAACAAAATTGAATTTGCATCAGGAAGAATGTAAAAAGCTGTAATATAACTGTGTTAATTTTTCGAGACAGTATGAACATTAAAGCCATAGGAGGGCTTTAAAATAAATACTTTAGGACCCAGAGGTGCTCACAAAAGCCATTTTCCAAATATCTATCTATATCTATTTTTAACTGGCTCTTAACTGCACTGATTGCCAGCCAACCAGAAACAAGTAATTATATAATAATTGTTCATTGTCATTCCTGGCTATTGCAGTACTTATAGGAACACTTCTAAAACAGTTCTGTGGCCCATATTTAGGCTACATGCTTTGTTTATAAGTCTGTAACGTAATTCCAAATATATATATATATATATATATATATATGTACACAGATGATCAAATGCACTTGGTGACATTCACCTTATCTAGTTTGCCTAGTTAGCCATTGGCATTGTCAGACATTTGAGTTCATAAGTTATTCCAAAATAGAGAATATAGATACAAATGTATATATGCAGCTTTCTTGAGTATTTACAAAGAATCTGACCAGAGAGTAATTTAGCAGCTGATTATGTAGATTTATGTTCTCTGTATATCTAGAAATCAATGCAACTTTTATATTGTGACCCAATTTATTTCCCCCTCCATCAGCCCAAGCGTTGACAAATGCACATGTGTCTCGTGAGGAGGTGGCAGAAACTGTGAGGAGACGCTGATGATTCCTGTCGAATAGAGAGATCCACCTCAGGCAGTGTCAGCTCTGTCCTTATTTGTCATAAGTGTCCCCTGTTTCCCATGGCTAAAGACAAAGGCCAAAGAACGTATGAGGAACATGCATTTTTAATGTGACATTCTCATCAAATTCACCACAGTGGACTGAGCAGAATGCCAATGACGCTGTATTCTTCTTCCAATTACAGCGAGACGATCATGCACTAATATAAATGTAAGCTGTGAAGGGCACAACATGACAGAGCCTGAACAGTTCAGTGCTCCTTCTCTTGTGAGCTTGAACTTGTGAACTTCATATTGATGTTGGTGTAGTGTTGGATTAGGCAATAACTTTAAACTTTAAAAATACATTAATCAAGGGAGCACAATAGGGGGAGGAACTGGGGGAAACAACATTGTACGCCTGTGTGAAAACATCAGTTTAATGTCAGAGCAACATTATCTTCTCTGTGTGCCTCCTGTGAGGAGAATGATGTCTTTGCTGATAGTGAAAAATACCGCATATAAGCATGCAGTATATCATCATTATAACCTATATTATTTATACAACATGACATCCCTGTGAATGCTGATTTGACCAGACTCACCTTTATCTTGTTGCAAATATGCTGACCATTACTCTGTGCCCATTATTTGACAGGCCTGAAATGTCACCCGAGACTGAGAGATAGTTGGAATCACCTCTTCGTTCCGAGAGAGGAAGACAGCGGGAATGTAAATAATCCTTGCTGGGACCAAAACCGTAGCTTTCATCTCTGACGTTCTTTTGCAGTGGTCGCTCCACACTCCATCATTATAATGAGGGAGGTTCAATTAGACAAGGTCTACAATGGTGGTTTTAAATGTCACAGAGCAGGTCCTGACATTTCTCTGTTTGATATGGAATCAGAATGGGAGCAGAAGAGTTCACAGGGAGAACTAATCTCAACTTCGGAAATAACAAATTCCACCCTGTCACAAAGCCCTGAGGAAAGGCTGGCGCGGCTGCTTTGGAGACTTTTACTCCCCTACAATGCTAGGTTGCCCCTGTTAAATCATTATAATGAATGAATCTATTAGTATTGTAATTAGCCCTCTGGAGGTTACCATGTGTATGAGAAGCATGTCATGAAGGCTCTTTTGGTATTTTAATCGAAAGGTTATTTGGTTGTCAAATCAAAAATGACTCAAGAAATAAAAAACGTTACCTGTGGTAATTGGAATGACCAAAATGACCAGCATGTCTGTAGCAAAGGGCAACATGGATGTAAACGCTTTTCCAATATTGTTGTTATAACAATGTAACCTCATTTCAACGAGGTTGGACAGCCTGATGCATAGCATAATGATATGTCATATTAAAGAACAGAAAGTCATCAGCTAAATTATCTATTTGCTTACATTAGAAAATAATTGGGTGCTGGGACTTGAAGGGCCACATTTATATTGATTTTATAGCAAATTCCACGTAGATAATAGTGTTGAATCCACCCACTCCAAACTTTTTTCGAGTCAAGTCTAGTTACAAGGAGTTACACAATCATCAAGAAGTAAATAGTCAATAAATAGTGAGGGAAGAATCTATTAATAGCAGTATAGGCTTATTTTTTGATGGTTAATTGGCTGTATTTTACTCTATGTGCATGTGTATTCTTACTTTGCGTGTAAAAGAAGGTTATAGATAGATAGATCTTTATGGATGAACCCATATTTTGGGTGTGTTGGTCATCGCTCTTTTATTGCGCTGAAATTAGTGGTTGGGCTATGTTTTTTATATCCTATAGTGTAGCAGCAAGTCATGTAGGCGATGTTTAGAATAGTATCAACATGAAAGTCAGCGCTTATGAGTGCTATAGCTTGAAAACACACTGAAAGGGATGTTGGAGTACAGCTTTTGCCTCAGTGATGTATATATCTGAATGAATATGAGCAGCGTTTGGGTAAAAAAGGTAGTTAAATCAAATTTGATTGGATCGTAGTTCTAGATTTTACAAGTACAATTCATTAATCAAATTGTAAGAAAAGGAGAATAACAATACTCTTTCAAAGATGTAAATGAACAGGCTACAAGCCAAAAGAAAGTCTGTCTTTATATTATTGACCGAGTTTGCTAGTCATCCTCACATTTGAAAAGGATACATTTATGCAACAGTTTAAGATGAAGTATAACATATTCTAACATTGTACATGAAGGAGTGATGTTTCTATAAAAAAAACTCAAGGCACAACAACGAATGCAAATCAAGCAATTAACACACGTTGACAGAATAAGAATATTTTTTCTTTTTTAATTCTCTGTCTTGAAACTGTCACTTATACATGAGTGTTGATAAATCCAAGTTGATCTATCTTGTTGCTGTTTTATAGTTTTAATTCGCACAATTTTAGCTCCATAGCTTCTAAACTCACTTTTTAATCAACTCACTGTCATAGCAATAATACAAGACAAATGAATGTGTTTTATATTAGGGTTAATGAGGAGACAAGTACAATAAAACATGTAAAAGTGGACACCGAGAAACATAGAACAACTTAACATGTATCAGATTCAGGATTAAAGAAAAATATAGTAATACAAAACTGTCATGAGATTTAACAAAACCCTAATTTAAACTATATATAATGTGTGGATGATCGTTCTGTACTGTCAAAGCCTAATGTTCAATAATACACTTTTCGCTTAATGTGATTTGACTTTAACATATTCTCATCCGACAGTTTTAATATTCTATATCTATAATAACGGTCAGTTAGATTATGTTTCAGGATTGTTTTTTCTTTATGGCTTAAGAGTGATATGTCCACCTAGAGTAAATGAGGTGAAGTAGAGTTGACTCATCCTTTATGTACCACTATGGCCCTGATAACAAGTACATGTTAACATCCGGGAGACTGTGGAGGACAAACAACATCACAAGTGATTTTGCATACTCTGTGTCATGACAGGTCATTTAAAAAATGTGACCATATCAGGAACAGCATGCCCTCTCTTCTTGAATGTCAAAAAACAGACTGTGGCCCTCCTATCACTCTCAGAAATAGTGGTCATACAGTGGATGCATTACCATCCCCTCCATGCTCCAACTCGCCTCTAATAAGTGCTGGATTGTTCACGGAGAATGGGGAGGAAAAAGGCGAGAGGGGGAATAGATAGAAATCCATTTGTAAGTCTGCGCTGTGACTATTTGCATGGTGATGAAGGCTTTGAGTGTTCTGCAGGCTCCCAGACAATAGAGCCTGTGTTTGTTCTTCCCCAGGAAGTTTGAGAAGGGCAGAAAAGGGGAGAGAAGAAGAAGAAGAGGGGAGGTCTTCAGCGCAGGGGATTACGCATTGTGAGAACCACGCGCATTCGCTTCTGCTATTGTGGTGACTGAATTGCTTTCCAGTACCAGGGCATTTAGTTAAGCAGATTGTGTTTCTTCAGACCCCTAGGATGATCTCCTTACAACGATTGGTGGCAAGTAACTCTGGGGACAGCAGCATCACACGAACAGGTGGGTGTAGGTGGTGCGTGCTATACATCTTGTTACAGATCATGTTTTGTCAGAAGATATTTAGATTTAATTGAATACATTATCTATGAAAGGATGTTTCTAGCAATTCAAAGAGTAAAAAAGGCTTTAAACATAAAAGTAACAGCAGGAAGGCTGAAATCTATAATACATGAAAGAGTCCTGGGAATTATTTGTGTTTGAACAGCAGGAGATCAGTATGTTTCTTGTGATTACTTCTGGCTTGCTGGTGGTAACCTTATAATATTTGACGAGGATGTTTTAAGTGGTTAGGAAATAACTTGGAAGCCTTTTAGTGAAGTGTACCAAAGTGATTTTCCAGAGTTGACTATTTGAGGCCTCTGTATGAGTTATCCGGTTGTTTATCCTACATTGACTGAACTCTATGTACTGGCCTATAGTACGTAGCTACAATACACACGCCTTTAGTGCATTCCACCTTTGAGTGAAAACATTTGACCCAGATTATTCAACATTTGGCGAGGTTCAATAATGATTTCTGTGACCTTTCCTTAAGGTGACAATTTCATTGAAATACCCCGTCTGTCCAAAATACTGGTAAACGTACTCAAGGACAGTAAACATTAACCAAAAATACCCCATTTGTAACTAAAGAACATCGTGAGTTTATAAAGTACACAACCATGGCCAAACAATGTAATGTGTGGGAACTGTCAACATGATGCTGCACTATATATCCTCAACCATAGGCCCATAGATATACTGTAAGGACTGAAAAGATTTAGACATTGCAGTTTGGTTCTGCCTTTCGAAAAATGTCTGCTCTCTATATGTTGTCCTCGTCTGATATTTCTCAAAACTTTTTATTCTAAAACTCTTTTTTATCACCATAATTAAGTCTTTATAGATAATTGCCTGTAATTTAAATGTGTCCTTTTTTTGTTAACATCAGTTAATTGTTTTTGATGGTGAAAAAATGAATAATAGGATGGAGTCCCATTGCTGATAAATGTCAGAGGAAATTCGTGACCCTTTGCTAAACGATAATGATTTCCACTTGTGCACATAATAAAATCAGACAAATTACTTACTACGGAGAACATGATGGCTTGACATTCCCCCGTTGGTCTAGCACAGTCTTTGAACTCATTTTAGGTCCTGATTTTCTAACCATAAATTACACATCACTGTTATTGTTTTACGGAGCTGAACAGTAAACAGGTCCCATGATAGGCTCCCAAATTACCAATTAAGGACATATTGTCTTGGGAGGGTGCTTTTAAAGAAGCGAGGCTTAACAGATGGATATGTCTTCAAGATTGCGAAAAGTCTATATTTAGATCCACTGACACGGTTTAAGCTTTACAGATTTTAATTTCTTTCTCATAATGCATAAAAAACGACCCAACTATTGCTCACATAAAGTTAGCATTACTTAGCAGTTAGTGTCGGGAGTGCATTTGATGTATATTTATGTTTCATCCACAATGTCAAGTAGAGACTTCTTCTTCTTTATTACTGCGTTTCGACATCTTTAACAGCATCCTGGAACAAAACAGAGCGACACTTTATTAGCTGGAACACATCACCATATAGGAATATATGTGGCCGTCTCAGCACATCTGGTGCTTAACATTGTGAGACTCATTGTCATTATGTCATGTGGCGGAGTGGCGTACTATACAGTACATACAGGCTACAGGAGGTCTGCTGGAAATGGGAGCAAGGCCTATTGAGCTAATGAATGGCTGTCATCCGCAGGCCACTCAGCATGTCATGTTCAAATGAACATTTATTTTGAAAGGAGAAAATTGACCTTAGAGTTCAACAGCGATTTAACATATTTTTAGTTTCCTTGACATTTCTCAGACCGTATAGGCCTACACCTGAAAATGAAATCTGATGGATTTATAAAGGCTGTATATGTCTATTTAATATTCACCACATATATTATCAAACACTATCAAGATAGCTGTCACACATATATATATATATATATATATATATGTGTATATACACTGAACAAAAATATAAATGCAACACTTTTGTTTTTGCTCCCATTTTTCATGAGATGAACTTAAAGATCTAAAACATTTTCTATACACAAAATAACCATTTCTCTCAAATATTGTTCACAAATCTGAAAAAATCTGTGATAGTGAGCACTTCTCCTTTGCCGAGATAATCCATCCCACCTCATAGGTGTGGCATATCAAGATGCTGATTAGACAGCATGATTATTGCACAGGTGTGCCTTAGGCTGGCCACAATAAAAGGCCACTCTGAAACGTGCAGTTTTGCTTTATTGGGGGGGTTTGGGGGAGTCTGGGGGGGTCCGAAAACCAGTCAGTATCTGGTGTGACCACCTCACGCAGTGCAAAACATCTCCTTCGCATAGAGTTGATCAGGTTGTTGATTGTGGCCTGTGGAATGTTGGTCCACTCCTCTTCAATGGCTGTGCCAAGTTTCTGGATATTGGCAGGAACTGGAACACGCTGTCGTATACGCCGATCCAGAGCATCCCAAACATGCTCAATGGGTGACATGTCCGGTGAGTATGCTGGCCATGCAAGAACTGGGATGTTTTCAGCCTCCAGGAATTGTGTACAGATCCTTGCAACATGGGGCCGTGCATTATCATGCTGCAACATGAGGTGATGGTCATGGATGAATGGCACAACAATGGGCCTCAGGATCTCATCACTGTATCTCTGTGCATTCACAATGCCATCAATAAAATGCACCTGTGTTCGTCGTCCATAACATACGCCTGCCCATACCATAACTCCACCACCACCATGTTCCACTCGATTCACAACATTGACATCAGAAAACCGCTCACCCACACGACGCCACACACGCTGTCTGCCATCTGCCCTGAACAGTGAAAACCGGGATTCATCCGTGAAGAGAACACCTCTCCAACGTGCCAGACGCCATCGAATGTGAGCATTAGCCCACTCAAGTCGGTTACGATGACGAACCGGAGTCAGGTCGAGACCCCGATGAGGACGACGAGCATGCAGATGAGCTTCCCTGAGACGGTTTCTGACAGTTTGTGCAGAAATTCTTTGGTTATGCAAACCGATTGTTGCAGCAGCTGTCCGAGTGGCTGGTCTCAGACGATCTTGGAGGTGAACATGCTGGATGTGGAGGTCCTGGGCTGGTGTGGTTACACATGGTCTGCGGTTGTGAGGCCGGTTGGATGTACTGCCAAATTCTCTGAAACGCCTTTGGAGACGGCTTATGGTAGAAAAATGAACATTCAATTCACGGGCAACAGCTCTGGTGGACATTCCTGCTGTCAGCATGCCAATTGCACGCTCCCTCAAAATTTGCGACATCTGTGGCATTGTGCTGTGTGATAAAACTGAACATTTTAGAGTGGCCTTTTATTGTGGCCAGCCTAAGGCACACCTGTGCAATAATCATGCTGTCTAATCAGCATCTTGATATGCCACACCTGTGAGGTGGGATAATAATAATAATAATAATAAATAATATTTTTATAGCGCCTTTCAGGAAACCCAAGGTCGCTTTACAAGTCGGGTAGGGGGGGGGGGGGAGTAGGGGAAAAAAGGCAGACAGGTTAAGGGGGTGGGGGGGGGAAGTAGCGGAAAAATAAACCTATTAAACTAACTATACAGTGGCGAAAGCCTTGGTAAAAAGGTGCGTTTTGAGGGCTTTTTTGAAAATGTCCAGGGTTGGGGCGCTGCGGATTTCGGGGGGGAGAGAGTTCCAGAGGGTGGGGGATGCCACACTGAAGGCTCTGTCACCAAAAGTCCGCACCCTGGTGCGGGGGGTGGAGAGGAGATCCTGTCCAGATGATCTTAGCTTCCGGGATGGAGTGTGGTAGCGGAGAAGGTCAGACAGGTATTGGGGGGCGAGGGCATGGAGGGATTTGTAAGTCAGAAGAAGGAGTTTATAGGTGATACGGTGCTTGACTGGGAGCCAGTGTAGGTGGATCAGGGTGGGGGTGATGTGCTGCCAGGGCTTGGTGTGAGTGAGCACCCTGGCAGCCGAGTTCTGCACATACTGGAGCCTGTCCAGGGCTTTACTGGGAACCCCGAACAGGACTCCGTTGCAGTAATCCAACCGGGAGGAGACGAATGCATGAATGAGGGTCTCGGCCACGGAATCAGAGAGTGATGGTCGTAGACGGGAGATGTTCCTGAGGTGATAGAAGGCAGACTTAGTGACGGATTTGATGTGTGACTGAAATGAGAGAGTGGAGTCAAGGATGACACCCAGGTTACGGACTTCGGGAGACGGGGAGATGGAACAGCCGTCAATGTGGAGGAGGAGATCCCCAACCTTCCGGAGCAGTGCTTTGGGGGCCACAACCATGAGCTCAGTCTTCTTACTGTTGAGTTTGAGTTGATTTGCTGTCATCCAGGTTTTTATGGCGTGGAGACAGTTGACCAAAGACTGTGGAGGGAGCTGGGCGGATGGTGAGGTGCTGAGATAGAGCTGAGTGTCGTCAGCGGATGGATTATCTCGGCAAAGGAGAAGTGCTCACTATCACAGATTTTTTCCGATTTGTGAACAATAATTGAGAGAAATGGTTATTTTGTGTATATAGAAAATGTTTTAGATCTTTGAGTTCATCTCATGAGAAATGGGAGCAAAAACAAAAGTGTTGCATTTATATTTTTGTTCAGTGTATATATGTGTATATATATATATATATATATGTATATATATATGTGTATATAATAGTATATATATGTTTTACTAGCTCCCTAAACCCTATGCGATTGACAGACCTGGACATGTGAGCTCACCCTTTTTCTTGGCATAGCCATTCTTTCTGCAGAATTTCATCATTTTTTCTACCAAAGCTCATCTTGTTAAATTGGCACTTAAACATCTGTTGACCTGTGCACTTTTCCAGCCACATCCTTAAAGGCTGAAGAGGTTTTAAACAGACTCCTTGGCATATTGGCAGATGAGCAGTTGCTCCGAGTAACATCATCGAGGGCTGTTGTCTAGTTTTGGCTCAAGGCGTTCAGTTTGGGCGCGTACTTGGCAGCCCTATGAAAGACCATAACAGCTCACGACTCACTGGTTACTAATTGGACTGTCAGTCCTCAATGCTCAGAGATATGAATACGGCCCAGAAATACATACATAAGCACAAACAAGTACTCTTGTTTGCATTTTGTATGGGAATTGTATATCATTATAAAAGCCTGTATCAGTAATTGATTTTACAAACTCATTACAAATGGGTCTTGACAGCTAATTTAGTTTTACAAGATTAAACATGAACATTATGGGCTGTAAAAGCAATAATACTGCAACTACTGTAACAGCTCGGAAAACATTGCAATATACTCTATATTCTACATTTCCACTGGGACTACCCATGCTTAAAATGCATGCGCATATGTTCCCTTGCATCACTTTGAATACAACTTCCACAAGACCCTATAGGTTGTAAAAAAAATGATATTAAAATGTTATAGAATAATGGCTGATGTGATTCCTAGCCCTTTTCATCTGATCCCACAGATTGCTGATGTATGGGTTGCTGCATGACAAGAGAGTTGTATTCAAGGGTTCATAGCATGTTCAAATAATTGATGTCAGTTTTCAAAGCAAACTGTTAAAAGTCAGAAAGGATAGGTTTGAAACTAAACTAATGATAGTCTACACCTGCAGAGAGGGAAAAATGAATTTCTCTTACTTAGAGAAAGGAAGTGCTCGACGACAGTAACCTTGTTAACGTAAAGATGCCAAAGTTGTGATGGCATATGTTTGTCTCTTTGACAGTGACATGATTATTGTTGCTTGTAGAAAAGAACAATAATTGAGTGTCAGTCTAAATAAAAGGAGTTTAATGAATTTGTTGAAGTTAAACTCTGGTAACTTTGTCAGTGTAAGATATTGTATTCCTTGTTGCCCTGACTAATTTGCTGTCTTGTCTGACTTTCATTGTCCTTACACTCTTGACCCTGATGGAGATTATAATTGATGCATTGATTCGAGTCAGAGTTTGTCAGAGCCATGTGTCTGTTTTCCATGTCTGGGGAGACATTGATCTAATTACAAGTCTTCATTAGTTAGCTGCAGAGCGCAGTGTCATGTTTAAGGAATGATGTGCAGGGCTTGCTCCCCCCAATGAAAAACAATACAGGGCCTTGTTTGAATTCAAAACAGCAGCCTGTTTTCAGCCACCCATGCTGCCTGCAGGATGCAAGACAAAAGAGAAAAGAAAATGGCAGACAAAGGGTTTGTTTTTCTTGTGTAAGATGTGATTCTGACTAAGACTTTCTTGCTTGAATTAGCTATATATTTGAGTTGTTCTGGTGCAACGGTTTTGACATGACTATAGTTACAAATAAGACATTTAATTAAAACAGTGGTTTGCAATTAAACCCCACAGCCCTGGCTCAGAGGAATTACATAATTTCACTGATAATTATATATACGTGGATTCTTTTAGCACGCACTAATGTTTTTAAAGAATATACCTGACAATGTTCAGGTATATTATAGTTCAGGTATAAATACAGTTTGTATTTACAACAGTGTCACTTGCAATGGAAGAAGTGGCAAACATTTATGTAGCTAATGTTTACTATTTCAACCATTTATAAGATGAGATTGATATATTAACATGTAATTATTACTTTTAGCTCACACATGTCAACATATTATCAAAAACAATCACAGCAGTAAGACTTGTTTTTATGACTAATATAAAATACAATCACCTTTTTCATGTATTGCTTATTAACTCTATATATTGATAAGTGAGATTTACCTTTCATAGACTTAATATTGAATTATAATTTATCATAGATAAACCAAGCCTTTAAATTAAGACTTGTCATTATGTACTGATACAGGTGTGAATTTGAACACTTGATATCTGGATTATACTCTACAGAGCTAAAGATTTCAATTTCCTCTTTTGCAATCTCTGCGCACTGCTGGACATTTCTCAAAGCAACCGTTAATTCAATTGTTAACTTTTATTCCAGAGATATGAGCCTGCACATGAACCACATCATAACGAGATGGGATACAGCACTGCCGGGATCATGAAATACTGTGCTGTTGAATGAAGTATTGGCAACACCGGACCAGTGAAACCTCTTCTGTCCATTAACCATGCAGTGGAAGGATATGCACGGATGGACAGTAAAAATGAGCATGCCGAGTGTTTTGGCCATGGTAACGGTCTTTTCCATTATTCCTGGTGGGGTGCTGAGTGATACGAGAAGTACTCAGGGTCTGGAAGCCCAACAAATAGCCCAAGGGTCCACTCATCTGCACCGTCGCCTGAAGAGAGGCTGGATCTGGAAACAGCTGTTTGTCCCCGAGGAAGATCCAACTCCTCGTGTTATTGGCCAGGTACCACCACAGATTGAATGTCCTCCATGTCCTTGACACGCTATTTCCTATAGTAAATGCATGTTTTTCGTTATAAAAATGTTTTAAAAAAAGCTTTCATCATACCCCCTCCTCTTTTTATAGCTCAAATCTGACTATGACCGTGGTGAGTTTTCCATCAAGTACATATTATCAGGAGATGGTGCCGGAGATGCGTTTGAGATAGATGAGTATTCTGGTGAGATACGGACACTGAAGAAGCTCGACAGAGAGGAAAAGGCCTTCTATGTCCTTCAGGCCCAGGCAATAAACAGGAGGTCCAATGAACCAGTGGAACCCCAATCAGAGTTCATCATCACGGTGCAGGACATCAACGACAATGTCCCTCAGTTCCAGAACGAACCATATGTGTCCAGCATCCCTGAGATGTGTCTAATTGGTAAGCTTTTAATGGGCAAACAAACTGATAGCTCATGAAATACCCATCAACCACTGTTGTTTTCTCCTGTTATGCAAACGTGCATGCTTACCTGCATTACTAACACCCTACACCTAAACCCTACAGTATATGTGCTTAGCAGACATATATTAGTATCATATCTGTAAATATAGCAATTATAGCAGAATTTAGTAGCCTCTAGAGCTCACTTATTACCACACAATATCTCATCCTTGTTAGGCAACCAATAAGATACTGCTCCAAAACATATACCCCAAAATTAGGAATTAGCATATATACGACTTGGTTTGAATTTGGACCTTAGGGTTAGGGTTAGATATAACCTGTTAATTAGTCAAAGTTTGAGGTGCTACAAGGTGACTATAGTTACTTATGTATGTATACAGCTGCTTCTCGACCAGTTTGTAAAGCAAGCTCCAGCTTTGTATTTACCACAGAGGTGTGAGAGTGCTGTTGATCTTCTCATGAATCTCTTTGTTGAAAATGAATAAGCATATTTTTGTATATGTATAACTATCCTTACTGCCGAGGAGGACCGGGACACAGCTCTCGCTTTGGGAGTACAGAGATTGGATGGCCCTGAGTAGAGACCCCCTCACCCCATACTCCCAGTAAGTCGGACACATTTCCGGTGAGGGTTGGCCTCCGCCAGGGCTGCGCTTTGTCACCAATCCTGTTTGTAATATACATGGATCGGATTTCGAGGCGTAGTCGTGGGGGAGGGGGTCTGCAGTTCGGTGGACTAAGGATTGCACCACTGCTTTTTGCAGATGATGTGGTTCTAATGGCTTCATCGGTCTGCGACCTTCAGCACTCACTGGATCGGTTCGCAACCGAGTGTGAAGCGGCTGGGATGAGGATCAGCACCTCCAAATCTGAGGCCATGGTTCTCAGCAGGAAACCGATGGACTGTCCACTCCAAGTAGGGAATGAGTCCTTACCCCAAGTGAAGGAGTTCAAGTATCTCGGGGTCTTGTTCTCGAGTGAGGGAACAATGGAGCGTGAGATGGGCCGGAGAATCGGAGCAGCGGGAGCGGTACTGCAGTCGCTTTACCGCACCGTTGTGACGAAAAGGGAGCTGAGCCAGAAGGCAAAGCTCTCTGTCTACCGGGCCATTTTCGTTCCTACCCTCACCTATGGTCATGAAGGATGGGTCATGACCGAAAGAACGAGATCGCGGATACAAGCGGCCGAGATGGGTTTTCTCCGCAGGGTGGCTGGTGTCTCCCTTAGGGATACGGTGAGAAGTTCGGTCATCAGGGAGGGACTCGGAGTTGAGCCGCTCCTCCTTCGCGTCGAAAGGAGCCAGTTGAGGTGGTTCGGGCACCTAGTTAGGATGCCACCTGGGCGCCTCCCTAGGGAGGTGTTCCAGGCACGTCCAGCTGGGAAGAGACCAAGGGGTAGACCTAGGACCAGGTGGAGGGATTATATATCTTCGCTGGCCTGGGAGCGCCTTGGGATCCCCCAGTCAGAGCTGGTTGATGTCGCCAGGGAAAAGAAAGTTTGGGGCTCTCTGCTGGAACTGCTACCCCCGCGACCCGACCACGGATAAGCGGGAGAAGATGGATGGATGGATGGATAACTATCCTTTAAAGCAGTCTCTTTAAAAAACATCAGAGATACTAGAATAGGCCTATTAATAGCATGATTACATGTTTTATGGTTGGTCTGATGTTTCAAAGAGTTATGTGTTTAGAATATTATTCGTACAAACAACCGTTTTCTTTTTTTTGTTTTACAAATAAAAGCAAATCATTTTCTATCAAGCAGATAAAACAACTTATCAGCTTTATTATGTATAAGGATATTCTTTTACAAATGAATTTTCTTAACTTAAATCTTAAGGAAAAAAGGTTATATGAATGTCTGTCATCTGTCCCTATTCAGGAAGTTAAAAGTATTGCATTCTGAACCCTATCTTGGATGCCTTTATAGATATATTTCTTAAATAACGTTATTATAACCACTGCCCTTTCATACCAAAACATTACCATTTCAATTTATATGTAATCTGCTTTCGCGGGGTAATATCTCACCCGTAATAAATCATAATGCATGTGACTTCGGAAAGAGAAAGAGAGAGGGGAAGGTTGGTCTGCAGGCAACTGAAAATAAGAAAGGCTGTGTTAAAGGAGGCAAGAGAGAGCGCTTTCTGGAGGAAAAGAATGAGATGGAGAGAAAAGGAGTAGCAGGTGGATAGTGAGAGAGATGTCGCTATAGGGCTTAAGAGGTTGTCACACACACACCTGCACAGCCTTACTGAGCTGTGCAAGACCAATGCTCCCCCCACAGGCCCCTCCCTAACCCCATTTTCAACAGCCCTCCTCTAACCCTACCTCAACCTCACCCCCCTCCCTCCTTCCATTTGCACTGCTCCCCCCCTGAGCCAGACAGACAGACCCTGCGGGACTGTGGCATAATCACTTTATTTCCCCGTCGACTGGAACTGCTGCCTGAGCTAACTCTGACTGTGTGATCCGTTCCCCCCACCCCCACAGGGACCACAGTGGCCCAGGTGACAGCCACAGATGCTGATGATCCCATGTTCGGAAACAACGCCAAGCTCATCTACTCCGTCCTGCAAGGAGAACCCTACTTCTCAGTGGAACCAAAGACGGGTACCACTTTTTGTTAAGTATAAGATAAGATAAGATAAGATGGACCTTTATTAATCGCCGTGGAAATTCAGTAGTTTACACAGCAACAGGGTAAGATTGAAAAACAGGACAGCACAGATTCGCACATACATTTGAGCTACTTTCTTGAAATACTATTGGCGAAAGTTTGGGTATTTAGAAGTCAGTAACACTCTTCCCACACACATTGTTGACCTTGACTGAGAAGGGTTGGGGGAGGGCATTATTGACGTAAAACAAAAAAATGACTTGCAAATTAATGCAATCTGTGAAAGGTCAAACCTGACTTTTTTAGGGAAACCAACTGATGTCATTGAGGAGTGAGCAGCAGTCGATACTATTCTAGTGTATGGCTTCAGCTGACCAGTAAGGAAAGGGCTGGAGATATTCTATATTCTTCTCATTGTCAATATATGCAATTAAGTGATCCAAAATGCAAGTATTGTGTGTGTTACCAAAGCCTAATATATGTTATTTCTCTGTTTCATAAAGCCCCTTTGTTGTTGAAATGCTAATAAAACACAGCAGCCACAGTGCTGCACTGTAGTGATCCATGTTCCTTCATCGCAGAGAACATTGGCTCTTTACAGTCCTGATAATGTAACACACTGATTACACCACATGTATATTAATTTGCTTGTGAAAATATTCTCCTCCAGTGCAGCCCTCATTTTCGATTGCGTATAAACAAACAAATGTATGACCTTTTTTGTAGGAATGAATGAACTTACAACAGATAGACATGAATGTATTGAAAGACACACTGACATATTGTTAGCAATGATCCCTCCCCGAAGAAAATAAACATAAACACCTGCTTTATCCTTCAAACAGTTGTGTTTATTGGCATTGTTAAATCGCCAGATGGCTTAAATTAGGTTGGTTTACAGTACAAGAAGAGGAGACAATCTATTCATCCCTGAGAGGGAATTAAAAGTTTTCATTCTGTTGGTATTTTTACATATTACACATAAACGTGATCTACACACATGTAATGATGAGGAGATAGGGCTAGGGTTATTGTGATTGAGGCCTTCTATGGCAGGCGCCCAAAACAGCACGACTGATTAGACATTGCGGTTGGTAATTGGCTTCTGAAAAGTTCATTTGAAAGGATGATTAGAGGAATAAGTGGTTAAAGTTATGACTTGCAAAGCAAAATTAGCATTTACATTTTCCAATTTCTGTTACCCGTCCCCTGCAGCCTCCACTTTCGCCAGACAGAAGAATCATTAGTCATCTTAAAGCCATCTTGTATTTCTATGGATCGATCCAATATGTAAACTTAACATTTATGATGGTAAAGTGCTCTCGTAGAATGATTGAGACAAAGTTGATTTTGTAAAGAAAACACACCAACAGATACATTTCATTCTGTCTTTTGTTGACGCTATATTTGTCCTTCTCCTCACCTACAGGGATTATTGTAACATCTTGGCCAAACATGGACCGCGAGGCCAGAGAGCAGTACCTGGTGGTGGTGCAGGTGAAGGATATGCTTGGCCTCAGCGGCGGTTACTCCTCCTCCACCACCGTTACAGTAAGCCTGACTGATGTCAACGACAATGGACCTACTTTCCAACACCGTGAGTCACAATATGAGTCACAGTGATGCAAACACCAGGCCACACACACTCTGGGAATCAATGAAAGAGCACAAAGCGTTGCAGACTGCGAGGACATATTTAATATTATACCTAAGGGGCATTTATTTGATCACACTTCTCCGGTTCGGGTGGGTGGTTTGCATTCCGCTGTACACATCTTGTTATTCAGCTGGCAGCCAGAATTAAAAGGAGACAGTCGAAGAATGAGATCGAGCGAACAAGACGGAGATGGGGATTTTCATCTGCGGGTGCACGTGTAGATGCGTCGCCCACTGGATGAATTTAATCATTCACACATGAAAGGACATTTGTCATGACCTTTAGAAACAAACCTAGCATTCTCAGTGATAAACCCCACTAAATGAATGCCTTGGGAAGAAATCAATTCTTTAGAAAGGAGAAAGATACCTTAAACTATTAATGTTACATTTACATTCAGAGCAGGTGCTTTCCTATGTATTCAATGTTGAGTCAAAAGGCCCTATTAATATTGTATGACCTCACTTCAGTTTTGAACCCTGTTTTGTAACATAATTGGTAATTATTATCAGCAGGGATAACATTTTGTCAGGAGCAGCTGGTTCCTTTCGAGTTCCTCCCAATTGTGGCTGCCATCCAAACAGAGTCATTTAAAGACAGAATCACATTTTCTCATCTTCTTATTAGAGTTAGGATTATATGGAATTGCCACAATTTATCAGTGACTAGCACAAATTGACGCTCACCACAATGTCCTCCCTTCTTATCACTTTACACCAGGGGTGGGGAACCTTTTTCCTCTCAAGGGCCATTTCAATGTTTTCAACATCCTCCGAGGGCCGTACAAATTATTGACCTCTGCTTAAAAATACTAAAATCACAGCCCACTCATTTCACCTTTCTTTCATGCTGTGCAAAGAAAAAGCAACCTCTTAATCCAGATATCTTACCATGCATGCACATGCACAGTTGTGGCATGACCACCAAAACAGAAAGATATGGACACAAGATGTGTGCAAATGTATTTAGTTTCCTATCCATGTGAACATGATTTAAGTGGGGGGGACCTAACCTCCTCTAGGGGGGTTCCCCCGGGAAGATTTGTTTTTAAATGTTGAAGTTAAAACCATCAATCTGGTGCACTTTGAGAGCAACATTAGATCTATGGATACATCTCTCAACATCCAGATGAAACATAACTGTAAGCAGATTTTCTTTTTCTTTATGGATATTTTACAAATCACTCCCCTTTTAAACTGTTCTTGTTTATTAATAACAACTTTTTTTACTGTCGTATAGTATTTTATACCTGTTTACTTTATTCTCTTATTTTTTTATAACTATAATGATCATATAAAGATGTGCCTTTACCTCACTGGTTGTAGAAAAAGCTTCTTATATTCGTTAGCATAGCTAGCTAACCAGATGCTAATAACAACAAAGTTATTGACTGTATGATCAGTATGACAGATCGCCACTGGGCTTACAACTAAGACACAGCCACGCAAAAACTGCAGCATGTGTACGGCTCCTTATGGGTACTGCAATTTTTGGAAGTGCCGGAGCGGAGCTGCGTTCTGGTACTCCCCGAACTACACCCCTGTCAGACGACACATATACCAGGTGAACATGGTGATGACACGTTAGGCTTGTGTTGTGTTCAAGGACCCTGACCTTGGCCAGGAAAAACAGGCACTCACTTGTTTAATTATTTTGCGGTCTAGATTTCTTTAATTTTTTGCGTGTGTTTATAAATTACCTCGAGGGCCACACCAAATGGTCTCGCGGGCCGTATACGGCCCGGGGGCCGGAGGTTCCCCACCCCTGCTTTACACACTAGGAACCTCTCCTTACTAGCCATTAACAACTCACTGTCAAGTTCAGTTGGCAAAGCCTTAGTAAAGAAACTTTTAATTTGTTGTTTTTCCCCCAAAATGTGAGTTGTCATTCTGTACTGCAACAGTACCAATTTGGTATCTTCGGGATTCTGTATTCCTTTTGATAACATATTCCAACATTCTCTGTGTAATGGTGTCAATAGTGTGCTTAAAAGATCCTTATTTTTTCAGACCTGTACACTTTTGCCGTACCTGAAAATGCAGCTGAAGGCACCACAGTTGGCAGGGTTATGGCGTATGATGGAGACAGTGGCATCAATGCTAAAATGACCTACAGTCTGGAGGATGACCTGGAGGAAAGCTCCACTTTTATCATCAAAACAGACCCCAGTCACGCAGGAGGGATTGATACTGCTAGCCAAGGTGAATGCATACGGTGTCTAATATACGAGTTTAGCATATTTTTCTTTTAATCTTATGTTTCATAGTGTGGGTGGGCACAGAGGCCATTAGGTGCTGAAACATTATTTGTAGAAAATAAACTCATTTTTTAATCTCCGGCGTTTAGAATATAATTAACATCACTGACACCAATGCGAACACAATTTCAAAAATCATTACACCTGATAGAGGGCATGGCAGCACATTCTGGCTCTATGCACTCACACAGACAGCTGGCAGACACAACAACAGCAGCATCAAAGCCAACAAGACGCAACAGTGTAACAGCCTGGCACAGGGACCCAGCCATCCCACACAGTCGTACACCTGGCAGCAGCAGCAACAGCAATATCCACTTCTCTCCAAGTCACAAACGTAGCAGCACAATAAACTACAGGCTTCAAAACGAGAACAGAGAAAGTGATGATAGCATTGAAATTAGCCTATTTTCAATCAATGACTCATAATAGTGATTACTTTTTTTGACAGGTTTTGTTCTGTAGGGTGACAAAGGACTTCTATCTGAAGATTAACAAAATATCCACCTATTAGGACAGCTAAAGCTAATAAGTAATGTATTTGTTCAATATGCATGTAACCCGGAAATGTGCTGTGATGAGCAGATTTTTAAAAAAAAGGCTGAAGAAATGTTGAGGACTATTACTTTAGTAAAAGTATGGAAATACTCTATAAAAGACATGCCTTGAAAACCTTTATTTCAATAAAAGCACATACATATTAGCAAAATAATAAATTAAAGGACCCTGTATGCAGAATGGCTGTACACTTATTATATTTCTGGATTATAATAATTGATGCATTATTGTTTTATAATTGTAATGTTGCAGCTGTCAAAAGTGGGGCAAATTTGAATTGCTTGATATACTTCTAGGAAGCTTAATATATGATTATAGCTCGTAAATTATTAGTTTACTTATATTTCGTGTACAAATCGAAATCTACATAGTAACCTTGTGAAGCTGAACCTATCAAATGATGATCAGTATACGGTGCAATATCTGCCCCAAAATGTAGAAGAAGAAAGAAACATGGGTTGACTCAAGTAAACGGCAGTAACCATTGTTGAGGAAACTTCTGTGTAGCTATGCAGTGGGAGTCACCGACTCAGGAAGGAGACACGGTAGGAGCAGTAGCTTTGATGTCAAACACTGATGGTTTATTTGGAGTTACGGCCGGAGGATTCACATCACAAGTCCAAGAGCCAGAGGTTCTGACTTCACGGTAGAGTTGCCACGTCAATTCTGGAGAGCCTCTCTCTTGCCAGCCCATTTAACTGGTTCCACAGAGAGTCATCAACATGTTTTGATAAGATAGCTTTAGATAGTTTGGGCACACTAAGTTACCAGCTTCTGCCACTTATGGCCTTGGATATGTCATGCCCTGGAGTCCTCAGACAACAGAGAAGGAAGTGTCCCAGTGTACCCACAATACAGACCATCTGTGACCCAGTATTGACCGGTCACAGAATGGGAACAATAACATTATTGGCTCAAACAGCCTGTGTCCTTAAAGGAGGTAAACAGACATCATGGTTTGTCCTGTATGTCACATCTTGGCGTCTATGATAATTATTTCCATAACAACCATAACATTGTGCGATGTACTTAAGTTAATGTAAAAGGACCTACAGTATGCTTCATACTTTTTTCATAACAACAGTATGCTTCTCTTTTATAGCACATGAGATTTCAATTTAGTTGCCGTGATAATGAAATAAAAAAAGACATTATTGACTCTGTCTCTGAATCACTTTGGGAACCCAATAATGGTTTGCATGCTGTTTTCTTATTACTGGCATAATAATGGTAATCAAAAACCCAACAATAGTTAAGTGCATTCTCACAGCTTGTAGCTTATTGACACTGGCTAAACAATGTTAGTGTCCTGCTCCCACGGGCATAATCATCTGTCTTAAGTACAAGTTGGCAAAGCATATTGGAAAAGCTGTTACTCTTTGTGCTTGCTTTATGATCAAGAACATTGTGTTTTCTGCTTTTAAAATCCGCGGTAATATAATGAACCTTTTTAAACGCTGTTTTTTTTTTTCTTCACAGCCGTTGGACTATGAAACTAAAAGACGTTTTGTCATGGCCGCAGAGGCAGTCAATGACCATGTGGACACTCGTTTTCTGGATCTAGAGGAGTTCAGGGACAGAACAACGCTCAAGATTATTGTGGAAGATGTGGACGAGCCGCCTGTCTTTCTCTCCGAGGTGTACGAGTGGAAGGTTCCTGAAAATGCAGCTGTGGGAACTGTGGTTGGCAGTGTTAGTGCCAGAGACACTGACACAGTCAACAACCCCATCAGGTACAGGAATGTGAACCGTCTAAACCAGAAAGAATGGGATCTGCCACCCAAGTATGGTAATGACAAGGTAGATACCCAGGCTGGTGGGGGCGGAACGTCCCCAGACAGCTCCCTCCACAGGGTGAAAAATCATTCCATTTCAAATAGTGTTACTGGCTCGGTGCATCCATTTTACCCTTGATCTCTGGATACCCTGTACATGGTCATATTTATCTCATATTACTTTAATAGGAAATGAGCCCTGCTGAATAAATCATACCGATTTTTTTTTTTTTTTTTTTTTTTTTTACACCTCACAGGCTTTTCTATCTATTGCCTTGGTATTATCACAAAGCGACGTGGCTAGGACGTGGGAATTTAATAAAGCACCGTACGAGGTGGCATATGGAATTGAGATTTGCAGTCATTTGCAAGTGGGGCACATTGCAGAGGAGACGGCAGCAGTACCGGTGCCTGTAGTCCATCTGAGCTGAGCTTAAGAATGGCAGGTGCTGCATATCATCCTCAGCCTAGCGTCTATTAATGTCCCTTCGGAGACAATGTTTCATTGATTAATACATTATAGCTGACATTTTAGGGGCTTCCATAGCTCTACTAAATATGATTAAGTTTGCTTTGGTCAAATTAGCTTATTTTCCAAAGTTGTTATCACAGAAATGAGTCATTACTTATTATGTTTTCACTCCTGGTTACCCTTACTCACCATGGTGTTATAATCACTTATAATAATGGGTGGTAAAGGTATGATAGGATGAAAGATTTTCTTCGTTAACAATTCAGTTGTCTTCGCCCGTGGATGATACATTTATGTCTTTTAAAAGTCGTTTTTTATCCACTATCAGAAAACAAGTCACTTTTTCTGTAACATTATTTAATTGAAGAAAGACTGCAGAACATTTCTCTACAGATTTGTCCTTCTGTTTTTAAATCCTATTTCCTCACTAAAAACAAGGTCAGGTTATTTATTGTCTTAAAAAATATACAAAATTGTGTGTTAGCCCACTGTGTGAGATGCTTTGATTCACAGCGTTGTTGTCACTAGCTTGTGTGTGTGCTCTCTTTGTTGGATTTCTGTCAACAGATACAAACAATTGAGCAGTTTGCCTAATTAATCTCCCTGTGATATCACAATGTTTTGTTTGCCCAGGGAACGACCTTGCCTGCTAATGTGTGTATCTGTCTTTTTTCTTCCAGATATTCAATTGACAAATGGAGAGATAACACAAAAGCTTTCAAAGTAGACCCAAACAATGGAACTATAATTGTCGCTAAAGCATTAGACCGAGAGACTGCAAACTGGCACAACATTACGGTCGAAGCCAAGGAAACGAGTAAGGAGAATTTCATGTATTGTACAATGGCCTGTTGTTAATATGGCCAACTTATGGCACCCTTTGTCAGTCACATATCCCAAATAGTTCACAGAACTGTGTTAAGATGAACATAAACAATGTCTAGAGCACCGATTCCCAACCTGAAGTAGTATCTTGAGAAACTACAATTAAATCAAAGAAAAAATCATTCAGCTGATACCCCAGAACAATAACTTTCACAAATGAGAATATATGGAAACTAAGCAGGCAAGAGAGATCTTAATTGTAAACTAAAGGAACAATAACATGGTTGACACTGTGGTTGTTAGACATTATGTAACTACTTTTCAAGCAGTTTCAGGAATTAAGAAATGGTTGAATTTGTAACGGAACCTGACTGTTTTTAATGAATTAACTTAATGTATTTTTTTTATATGGCATGTTTGTGCCTCCGGCAAAAGACTGGTCTAACATAGTTGGCTTAAACTGTACATAAGCGGTAGGCTCAAAGTAGCTAAAGGCTTTTCATAAACATTTTGATTTGTAGGCCTACTCCATAAACCCTGCACTGTGTATTGGCTTTAATATGTAAAAATGCTGATTGCTGCTTGAAATAAACATTTAAAGGTTAGTAATGGATATATGAATATATTGAAATCAAGGTAAAAACAAGTGATATCAATTAAGGGATACTACAAAAAGTTGGGAACCACTGATGTAGAGTAATGCAAACCCTAACATTACTGTACCAGGATTTACTATTTTTGAACAATGGTTTGCTGTATAGTCTGTCTTAGTTTGGAGAAAGCAGTGAAAAGTGAATGCCCATTGATTTTGCTCCACAGTCATATTTAAAGAAGCAGAAACATTTATCAGTCTAAAATATTATTTTGACAGAGCTGTTACAAAGCATTTATGATACATGCACCCAGTGGACTTCAGCAAAATGTCTATCTTCACTACTGCAGCGCAGAGCCATTTATCCTCCTCTGTGGTGGTGTTCATCAAAGTGCTGGACATAAACGACAATGTGCCAAGGCTTGCAAGAGATTACCAGCCGTATATCTGCGAGGGAACACAGGCGGGAGAAGTATGTATATTATGATGCACTGATGTTCATGATTTATTATAGCAGTGTGGAATTGAGAATTTCCATGAAATGGACAGTAAAAGTTCTCATATTGCTACATATTGTATTACATCAATGTAGTATTTTGGATTCAAAAGGAGCCATTTTGCAATTGTACAGCACTATACCATGTTACATTCATAACACTGTCATCTGCTGACTGAGATTCTGAGAAATACATTACAATGGTATGCATACAGGAAATTCCACTTGTTCTTTCTCAGTAATGTGTCTTTGTGTCTCGCAGCTCATTCAGCTGCTCAGTGCTGTTGATCCGGACGACCCTGTGGAGGGACACCATTTCTACTTCTCTATGGTCCCCGAGAAACACATCAACCCAAACTTCACCATCAGAGACAATCAAGGTTATTATTAACAATGGTGGAAGAAGTATCCTGATAGTATACTTGAGTAAAACTAGCATTAAAGTGAATGCAGAAGTAAAGCAAAATAAATATCAGCTTTGAAATACATTCAGTTTGCACAATACTCATTATGTAGAATGAGCCATTACAGTATATCATTTTATTCACAAATTATTCATAAAATCATATCATTTATGTTCCAGCTGTAGAGTACAGGTTAAGCTTATTCCCATTGTTTCGAGTCTTTCTGACTATCTTATCCTGAGCATGAAATAAAATAGTTTCATTATACTTGCACCAGGAAATGTTCTCCTCCAAATAATGGACATTTTTACATTTTGGGGCTTTAACCTGAGGGACAAAAGAAAACGAAAAATATAACACCTAATGACACCTTACTTAAAAGTCCCATTTGATGACTGGGAGAATGATAGTGGGCTGCGGCTAAACCACCACCTGTATGATCAGTGGAAACTGTGGGACAAAGGCAGAATAAGGGTTCATTTTCATAATCACAATCATTTTTATAACACTAGTGTTTCTTCCACATTTTGGAATGAAATCCTTCAGTTGGTTGTTCCCTTTTTGTGGCTGACACATTCCTCAAGTAAATACATTGAAAGTGTCTGCTTTGAAGTCAGTAGCCAGTCAACCCTTTCTCAAAGTTTATAATGAAATGGGCAACAAAAATCAAGCAGAAAATATGATTCAAGTTTTCAACAGTGGGATGTTTGAATGTGCAAATGAGTGGGGATGTACTGTTTGCAGGTGCAGTGTATGGGTGATTGCCTAACAACACATCAGTCCAGTCAGCATCCAGGGAATTAATAATGGATCATATATATTATAAAACACATTTCCAAATTTCACAGGGCATATTTGACTCTGAAAAGTAATTGTTAGGTACCTTGATGAAGTCTTATGGGGACTCTGAAGTATACTTGACAAATGTACTTTTGTACACACTGAAAATGAGATTTGACAAGGTGCTCCAGACTTTCTGAGAGCTTGGATTGAATTTTAAATCACATTATGTGTGTCAGTTGAATTCCCCCACAATCTCAGCACTCACGGTGGAAGTGCTACTCATGTTTTTTTTAAAGAAATTGAAAAGTGCACCTCTCTACATTTCATTTTTAGACAATACAGCCGGCATCGTGGCACGCAGGAGTTCTTTTACGCGCAAGGATCGAACCCAGTACCTCCTGCCTGTTGTGGTGACTGACAGTGGATCTCCAGCTCTCTCCAGCACCAACACTTTAACCATCAGTGTATGCAGCTGCCAGCCTGCCGGCCATTGTCCCACAGGGGGGGTGGAGGCCCTCGCCCTGTCTATGGGGGTCAGCCTGCAAACCTTGTTAGGAATTGTGGTCTGCTTTATCACACTTATAGGTAAGAAAGCATGGTCTTATCTTGTATTCACATTCAAGCCTTGTCAAGATTATCAAACTATGGTATAATAAGGATGTGTGAAAATGTGCACTCTGTAGATAGACAGATAGATACAAAGTAAAGATATAAAGATGGAAGTATAGATGTAACGATAGATGTAACAAACACACACATACAGACATTCGTAGATAGATAAATCTGTGATATTGTCTTGTAAAAAAGTCATTCTCTTTCAGCGAATCTGTTGAGCTAGAGCAGCTCCAACTCACAACATTTTGGCAAGTATGTAAACGTGTGTTAAACAGCAGGATTTTTTCATTAACACGTTTGCACTTTCCTTTGAATTCCTTTTTTTAAAACTCACCAGCGTGCCTTTAACACACTTATAAAATGCTGAAAGCTTGCAGAGCGATGATGTCAGGTAATGAGCATATTGGTTGCAATACATCAGTAGCAATGACACCATGGGACATTGATGGGTTTGCATAGTGAAGAGCTTTATTATGACCTCGGCTGCTGTGTGTCCTCTCTTTGCCCATCACATGAAAGATTAATGACAATACCTGCTATGCTAACATTCTGCCGGATGAGAACAATACACGGTGAAAACACGGCAGAATAATATAAACTCTTTTAGCATTCTGTGCCACATGGAGCAAATACAAGAAGTCTTCCTGTTGTGCGTGAGCTGAAATTAAAAAAGGTAATTCATAACTTCATTTGTGTTCAAATAGAATTTTACATCCACTATAAGTTACAGAAAAACAAATCTGGCTGCTATTATTTGTACAGTACATTTTAAAGCTCCATCAGGCACTTAATACGCGTTTTTTTATCACTAAGCTCATGCCCTGGTGTATGTTGGTAATGAGCTCTTGCTGTGTCGTGTCTGCAGTGCTGTCAATTCTAATGCTGGTGGTGAGGAGGCACAGGCGGAAGCAACAGGAGAAGCTGGAGGTGGAGGGGAAAGAGCTGGAGCTGCCTGAGACGGTGTCACAGAAGGTGCTGTATTACGGAGAAACGGGGGGTGTAGGAGCCGACCTCAACTTCTGCCAGCCTGCGGTCCCGCTGCGCCGCCACCCCAGGAGGAGGGAGAGGAGGCTGCGGAGGGAGGACGTCAGGGCCAGCATACGCATGTCCCTCAGAGAATCCCACCTCATTGGGCCGGACGACGACGTCTTCAGGCAGTTTATTCTGGACAGGTTGACAGAGGCTGATCTCGATCCTTACGTCCCCCCATTCGACTGCCTAAGAACCTATGCTTATGAGGGGTCGGGTTCTCCCACAGGGTCCCTGAGCTCGCTGGACTCATCTACAACGGAGCTTGAACCTGAGCAACCTGTTAGTAATCCCAGAACCTCCACAGTAAGACTCACCCCTTGGTATTGGGGAGGAGAGGAAGACACCATCTTCTGAGGGTCTCTTCTTCTACTCTTTCAATGGCTGTTTCTCTAATCTTTGCCATGATGGACAAGTTCACTTCACTTCCAATGAGCGATCAGCCATGACTAAAAGTTGCATTTAAAGGAAAGGCCCAGCATTATGAATAATTCCTTGTCGAGAGTTGTACCTGATTCATTAATGTGCGCTGAATATAAATCAAAAGCAGCCTGTCAGCTTAGCTTAGTTTAGCATGAAGACTGGACTCTTTTCGGAGGCTTTAGTTGTGCTATGCCACTTTCATCATCTAATGTCTGCTTTCTTCAGTCTTCTGTTGCTATGTTAGGCTAACTGGAGCCTGGTTGTAGCTTTATATTTATCATACCGATATGAAAAAAGTATTTAATTCTCGTGTTGCTTCAAGCTAGAAAGCATAGTGTATTACATACAATGACAAGCCATTCCTCTTAGATGAAATCAATCCATAATGATTACATTATGTACGCATCAATTCTGTGTACATTTCTTTGAACATTGAGAGCATTTATGACTTTTTATGGCTAATATGAATGTTGATGTTAGACTTTGTCTTAGTGCCTTCAAATCTAAGAGCAAGGGGTTTATTCTACACTCACTTCTATGCAACAATCAAATCCATCTTCGTCCTACATCGTAAGCCATTTGTATAAATGCTAAAACAACCTGTATTCTCCTGACAAGCGACCTCTTGTAGTTGTGCAAATAAGGACTATCCTCTCTAAATTGCAAAGGTAGGATTAACATGCCGACATGTTGCGTGTTCGTTGCATTTTCCCTCAACTTCAGAAACTGCAGTCCAGTGATCTACCAAAAATGTAATGTAACTCTTCCCCAAACCTTTAAGCTGCATTATTTTTATTTTATTTGTATTTTATTTAGTCCGCTTAGGGACAGTGGAACAAGCTGGAAACACAGTATTATCACATTATTAATTTGTGGCTGTTAAAGAGTAAAACAATGGAATTCATGCTTTAATTATTATAAATATTACAGTGATATTACACTCACTGTATAATACCTACAGTATTACTGATCAGTCAAATACATGTTTATGGTACTACTAGACACTTCTTATCTAGTTTTATATTTGGTATTTTGGCTCATAACAATTTGTTCTGTACATTATGTGTATTGTTGTATTTACCCCTACGAAATGATATTATTTAATGCATATTCTTTGGTTATGTGAATGGCAACATCATTTTCAAATAGAGATTTTGATTCCTGATTAGCGTTTTCTTACAGAAATTAAATGTTACTTACAGAAGACTATCCATTATATATGAACTGTTTAACATGGATTATGCTGTATGATATGACTTTCCTTTTTGTGAAGTCATGGGAGAGCAGATCACACGACTTGTGTAAGCCAATCAGCAGCGGAGAGAGATCACATGGGTGATTGGCAGCAAAACCTCAGCAAAGTAAGAGAAGATTTGAAATGTATAAAGAGAGTCTTATACAAGAGCACTTTAAAGATAATTATAATAATATACAGTGCTGCGCTCTCTTCTTCCTTCATGGTCATTTAGCGTACAGTATTATTGGAAAACAGTATATGAGCGCGTTATTGTGTGGGTGGCTGCTCGTGGGGTGACTCAAGGTAATTACAAGGGGCTCAGGTCCAGCCTCCTTCACCTTCTCATCCACTAATTGGGCTGTTTGCTGTCTGCGAAGGTCAGTGTTTAGACCAGAGAGCATACAGTTCTCACTGAAGGAGGAACTGTATACAAAGACATACAAACATATTTGGAAAGTAATTGGAAAGCCTTGGGCAAAGATACAACATAAGGGAAACAACTAATTCTTTGAATCTATTCAGCTTTTCCTTTTTCTGCCGTGGTTACTTTTATATAGGTGCACCACTCAGCAGGACATTTTCCAGACATTACTGCAACTCAAAGTGAGCTTCAAATAGCTTTCACTGTTGGAAACAATCTATCTGGGCACTGCAAAATCATTATCTCACAATGGCTTCTAAAGACACAGATGTTCAAAAAAAAAGTCTTTTGAAAGTGCTTTCAGACCAATCTCCACAGTCCAACATGTAGGTTATTGGATTTGCCCATAAAGGCCCTGTTATAATTTCCTTTTCAAAAAGTACCGTAATGTCAAAAGTCATTCAGCTCTCGGTGTCATTTAACCTTCTGAATTTCTGTCATTACCCATGGTGAATATCACGGGTAATTTAACCTAACAGCCCTTTTCTTTGTGTAATTATACCCATCACAGCAATGTGAAAGATTTCGCTCCGTCGACTGTCTCTGTCCTCTGCACAGGTTATAGATTCAGCTCTTCTTTTCAGAGCCATGGCCAGACTCATCACAAAGCCCCACAATGCTCACTTGAGGGTCTTTGAGAGGGGGCTCTCATTTGGTACACGGTGAGTTGATTGAAAAGATGCCTGAAAGGTTTTTTGAGATCCATTTTTGTAAAGAAAAATAAATCATTACTTACATGTACGCCTCAAGGTTTGGCTGATCAATTAATTGATGTGCAATTGGGGATTATACAGTTACTGTAATTAAAGTGTATGAAGATTAATATATAGATATTCTGAGTATTGCAACGTTTTTTTAAGTATATGTTTATAATAGTTGTAGACCAACAATCGAACAAAAAAGAATTTATAGTTGAATTAATGTTATAAAGTTACAATACACATAATTGTCAAAACTGCCAGCCTTTTTTAATTCAACATGACCCCATGTCACCCCACATGAATGATTTTAAGGAATATGTAGTTTTGACCAAGTGAGAGCCCTTCTTAAATTAAACCTATATATTATCTGATCTCTGCTAGCACAGTAAGAAACTTGAAAAGATGAATAGTTAGGTTGGGAAATATATGTGAATACTGGATATGCTTATACATTACAACTTGTCATTGATTATCCACACATTGTCAAATTGCAAGTTATTAGGCAGGAACAGGACATTGACTTAAGCTTTAACATCACAATAATACATATGAAATCATGCTCAACACTATAATATTTAAGCAAGCTATCAACACCAATAGAGAATACTTCCATGTGTGAGCCTACACAGGCTGTTATCACAGCATGTGTGCCGCTGTCAAATCTGACAGCAAATGTGTTACAAGATTATGCAAACTTTAATATTTCTGGCATTTTCAGAAAACATTTCTGGCAAGTTATGTCATGTGAGCCTTAACCACTCTGGTCCATTAACTTTCCCGAAATGTGGTGAGACTAGGGGAATGTCACACTTCTAAGAAACAAATTATAAGTTGTAATGCTGTGCTAACGATTTGGAAAGTATAATTGTTCATCACAATCTAATGTTTGGCTGTGTTGGGTGGTAATGTGTGGCCTTGTTTACAAGACAGTTGGTAGTTTCAAATCACTTGAGGCAAATTGATTATTATCAGGAGCATTTGCAAGATTCATTTAGTTTTTGGTTGATGGACCTTGCTAAAAATACAGTTTTAAATTAGAAATTGACATTTGCTCAACCAACTCCCCTCTACTGTGATTACATTGTGTATGTTTTTTACCCTTTTCAAAAATGTGATAGTATAGGTTTAACCTTGTCCATATCTTGGTGTTTCTTCCCAGCCAGAGAGTCGAAAGGGAATTTGACACGTCTGACCTGATGTGGGGTCACGGCTAATGTGATCGCGTAGCTAGTTTAGATTAATTTGACAGGGTTCTTGTGTTAAATCAGTCCGCTGGAAACTTTTAAAAGTCAGCCAGGTCTCTTTTCTGTATATACAGAGTTTTCCATTTGCGTGATCTTCCATGGACTGTGGTCCATCTTCCAAGCAAAATCCACAATAAGAAAAGCTGCTATTACTTCAATCTGAAATGAATGACCTATTGTGTACAATAATTGTGTGTGGAAATTTGAACGGGAACACAATAAATTGAGAGCTTAAATAATCCAATCTTTATCTATTACAGCTGACACTAGCATGATCAGGTAGCTAGCTACAGCTGATAACATCTGCAAGGGACACCAAAAACATACAGGGACACTAATCAATGTTATCTTGCCATTGCCATTATTATAATTGTACATTAAAAAGCATACATGCTGTGAGTGAAAGGGGACGGGACAACTCACCTTTTAAATAAAATCATTTTACTAATTGCCATCTTATTAAGAGGTTATGTTTGACACAACGTAGGATCAGTAAGACTCATTTAAAATCCAAACTAAAAGTGAATATACAGCAAATGTGCAGAAACAATCAACCTACACAGGTGTTAAAAAAGTGATTAGCATATGTGACATTGAAGCCCTCATTGAACACACCAAAAGAGAACATACACCTCATTGTAAGCTTTATGGTGATGATGTAAACTAAGACAGTATCCATTTTGTAAGCACCAGCACAATTGGTGTCTTCTTTGTTAAATTAGAGAAAGCAGATCAGACTGTGACTGTTGTGTTATTGTAGAGTTAGTGAGCCTGTTGCTAATCACCAATCATCATTTTGACTCCAGCATAAAATAAACATAAAAACATGTCCTGCCATTTCCATTGACAAATCAAATTGCAATTCACAGCGGCTCATACAAAAATCAACAGCAAGCTACATACAGTAAGAGCCAATAGAGTGGTGTTGTGAGAGGTCATCCTTCAACTAAAGACTCTGCTTCAAAACCAAACACAGCCATCATTATCACTAACAAAGTGTGCTTGGCACTTTGCTTCTATCATTTCCTGTTTCCCTTTTAGTGGTTGGGACGCACTTTTTTGTTTAAGCTAACGAACCTTACACTCTGATAAAACGTACAAATAATGAGCTCTCCTTGATGAGCCAGTTGCTTTTCAGTTAATTAAAAGGCCCTGATACTTTGCTATACTTCTAGAAGTAATTTCTTACATGAACACAGTAGCGTCTTCCAAAAGACAGTTTATCTTCCATTAGGAATTTCTGAATGTCTTGAAATAGAATATCCCTTCCCTTTGGCGGACACAGTTTTCGCCCTAGAATGCTGAACTTATGCATGGCGACACATGTTTCGCTGTTGTGTTTAAAATTGCATAAACACATCCATGTGAGTACATAGTCTTATCTTTTGGGGAATTTGAGCTCTTGGGCTACAGAGTATAGTGTATTTCAAGCTGCAATCTCCAGTCCTAAAGAATAGAGCCAATGCATAAAACGGTGTTCTTTGAATGGCCACCTTGGGATAGCTCCAAAAGAAGGTAATCCCTGTTGGCCCAACTTTACAGCAGAACTATCTCTGCTATGCCAGGTAACCCAAGCGCTTCAGCTAATGTGGCTAAGTTATGCGTTGTGGGCGATGCCAAGATGGCGACGGGAGGAGCCAACCATACTGAATTTGACAATATTTACTCCTTAAAAACCTATGGTTGACATCACAGAGACTGTTCATTTTTGATACAGTCTGATTGCCATTTGGAAAGGGCTCCCTTAGAAAAACTGATGCACCAATTTAGAATTCAGTCAATTGAATCCGATGACAGTTGAAGGGTTGCTTGGTTACTTTCCAACAAATATGACCTTATATTCTATTGAGCAAATTAGTAATTATTTTTGTGTACATCTTTACATTGTTTTCGTAGGAAAATGCTGCATATTATACCTTTTAATTGATATTAAACCAAGGCTTCCAAATAATTGGTTATCCTTTGTTCAGAAATAATGTCCCTCATTTGCGATGGGACTTTTTCATCGAATTAAAATACGTGAAAAGCTATTTTCAGAGTTTGGCTCATTAGATCTAATCTTTTTTATGAAAGGGAGCTGCTGAATTAGGAATGAAAGACTTTCCACTTATGATACATAACATATCCACTTGATCTGATATCATATTGTTCTTTCCTTAGGTCTTTACTATGGCACTAATATTATGGAATACCAAAGACTTGGGGTTCAAAGTGAAAAGTCCCATTAATAAAGAAGAGATTACTTTCACTTGCTGTCAGGGTCCTGTGCCGCTAAAGGATTGATGCTCTCACATTAAATCAGCCCCTTGAAAGGTCCTTCCAAAACTGTATGAGTGCCAACTGTATAGGTAATTTCTTTCTCTATTTTGTTTTACTTTCAGGGCATGTTCAGTGGTATTATCAAGGCATTGATGTAAGGATGTTTGCTTTGTTGTTGGCTTGGTCATTCTTTCCAAATCTGTATTTGTCATTGGTTCTCTCTCTCTTTTTTCCTTTCCTACTTTCGTACTTTCTTTCCTTCCTCCATTTCTCTCCTCTGAGCCACAGGGTTTGTTGTTCA